CTGGTCACTGCCGTCTTCCTGAATGGAGACCCCGAGACGGGCCACACCAATGGCTAGAAAAATTGTCAGACATGGCCCAGTCGCGCCCTCAATGGCGCTCGTGCATCCAAGCTATTGCCTTCAATACATAGCTCCTTTTCCACCAACTCCCACCTCCCCGAATCATCAGTGAACCCAACTGTGGCAGATACGACCGCTGTATGACGAGTACGCGGTTCTTACAGCTGACAATGATGATGTTGGTGCTAATGGAGGGTGGCTTTTTAAACTCGGCTGGTCTGGTTATGAGTTCGATTAATCCCATTTAGTTTTCATACATCGAGGCTCTTTTTGCGAAACATTGGGGTTGTGCGTATCGGTTCGCTTATATTTATCCTACTTCCATCGCGTCACACGCAGAATGACAGTTCAGTACACTTGATGGGATGAATTTTTGGTATCATTAATGATATGGTGGCGTGTAATCGTATCAAGAAGTTGGGAGTGTAAGATAATGGCATCATTTGTAGATACAACGTAAGTTTGGTGCAGAAAACGGCTTTGGGGGTCGGTGTCTAACGCTGAAAGCGCATATACTCACACTCACGAGCCCCCAGCCGATTTTCACTCATCCACTCATGTAGGAAGCTCGTTAAACTATCCGAACCGCGTGATAGAATTATAGGATGCGAAATAGGCGAGTTCAGCTACTAAGTACTGTTGAAGTAGATACTTCGTAGCTCAGTGGTTAAGGTACGAACTCACCGACCGGAAGGCTCGTGGTTCGAATCCAACCCCGGTGTCTCAACTGCTCCCGTCTAGGTTTGATCAACCTAGCCTTCGTCCTTCTGTCGGATGTCTCGACAGCTATGCACCGGAAGTTCGGCACAGCTGAACAATTTCCGAGCACACTTGTTTCAGAAAGTGTTACTGACCACCGTCAGGATATGACGTGTAATGCTCTGAAGATGACTGAAGAGCCCTCTTTTCCCCGTCCTGTCTCATCTTCGACCGGTATGGGCTTCATATCCTAAGTCTACTATCAACGCATCGAACACTTAACTATTGGAGAAACCCAGATTAAATGTGAATCACTAACATCTGATTGGCGGACTTTTCGACCAACGGCGGTCGAGCTACCATAAAGCTGCACAGTTTGACAACCACAACATTATAAGGGACCAAGTTTGGTGCTCTGTGAAGGCTTTTGATGCTGACCAGGCCCGTGGGACCAAGTTTGGCATGTGACCAGGCAAAGTCTTACCGCAGATCACCGGTAAACTTGCGTTCTGCGCTCTCTAGTAGCCAGGTCTTCTCATATGCTTGTCTCTTCTGGACAGCAACAGATTGGACTAATCGGTCCACGTATCACCACTTTCTTTCAGCGGTCGCCGTGATCCTACTGCTGTGTTTGTCAATGTTCTATTGCCGTGGGCAAAACGGTGCTTCTGACCAATCTCATGAGGCTGATTTTGAATAGATACAGAAGCCAATAAGTGAACTAAGATAGTAAAACAAAAATAAAATTCGTAACACTTTTTGTAAATATTTGTATCTTGACCGGTCGATGCCTGTCTCTACTGTTTATTCTTCAATAGTGGCAGTTTAATTGCACCTTGAGTGTGTTATCCATTTTGAAACATCTGGTAAGGGTAGTCTCCCATAATTCATTTAGTGAGCCTGGATGGTGCGAATAGATGGCTCTTTTATCTGTGACCGCCAGCGCATCCGCAGCTTTACTGAATTCTAGTCAGAAGTAATTTACCTATGGCTGGCATCTGACACGGATTTGAGGACTGTCATTTACCCACCCTGTGGAGGAGGCACCGGTTTCGTCGAAGGAATGATTTCGTTCAACTGGGTTTCTGGCGTCTGACTGCTCTGTGGTCGTCTGACCCTCCAGTAGTCAAAGGCACATTTGACCCCTATGAAGTAGTGCTCCAAGGTGTGCCATACAGTGTGCTGCAAACTAAACTGGGACGATGGATAGGGAGAAGTATTTCAGACTGGCTGAAACTCGTGCATGCTGTTAATGAATTTGTGGTACAGTGCTCGCTATACTTAACGGTCCTCCTTGTTACAATTTTCTCCCTCATGCCACTTTTTATGGCGGCCTCAACTATGTAGTTATCTTTCAATTTCATTCTGCAACCACCTCTTCAGTATGACTAACTTTCCCTGTTCTGTTCGAGGTCGTTGTTGACTGAGGGCATGCCCGGTCTGGCGCGGCCACCCGGATAGAAACCGCTACTAGTTACTGGTTACTTCTAAATCCACAAGTAGTTAGAGATATAAGAAAATTTTGTCGCCCATGTCATCCCGTCTCAATTTATGAGGCATGTCCCGGATCGGTCACTTAATAAGTTCTCATCTTGTTTATGATTTGTTTAGGCCATGGAAGAAGGTATACACAATTTCGGAGTCGAGCACATCTTGATCGATAACTTGCAATTCCTTTTGGGAGCCGGTGGATACCAGTTTGAGGAAAGGTTCCATCGACAAGATCGTTTTGTGCAGAAACTCCGAAACTTCGCCAGTCAGAACAAAGTTCATCTGACCATTGTGGCTCATCCAAGAAAGGCAGGTTCACCGGCCAGTTCGATTCTTATAATTTCAGGAAGATTCTGATCGCAAATTAACCATATCCAGTCTTTATGGTGGTGGAAAGCTGAGTCAAGAAGCCGATAACATACTACTCATTCAAACGGAAACTGAAACGGCCTATCCAAAGAAATACCTGCAGGTGTGTGCTTCTCTTGATCATTTTACGTGATCGAATTCCTCAGGTTTTGGTTGGGTGTATTTTTCAAGTTCTAGCTCTCTGGTTTCAGTTGAACGCATGCCTTCACTAACTCTCCAACCTAAAACAACTCCATTGAAGTATTCATGATCCTATGAACCTATGAAGGTTGCTCTTATGAAGCTTGTGCTCAATCTTTGGTGTCTCTGGTTCGACTGGTAGCCCATCCACAACATGCTGTCAAGAAGTTACGAGCCGATTCCGTGGAGCAGTCATTCACATGTGCAGGATAGACAAAACTTGACCGCAAGGACACAAAGTGTTGTAGTGAGGAATCATTGAGCCCCTTATGAAACTGAGTAGTAATGATCGGCCGAATTAGTTGGGTGAGATGGCCCGAATTTACGGACCGGAACGTCTGTGGTTCGAACCGGACGTCTGCGTCTCTCGACTTTCCCTGTCTAGGCTTGGACAACCTGGCAGTATTCCAGCCCTCGTGCTTCATTCTGGTAGCATGGCAGTTAGGACCGAAAGGATGCTACAGCCAAACGATCGGTCATTTTGCGCTGGAACGGAAAACGTTGGTTTGTTGTCAACCAGGTGGCCACTGTCAAAAAAGTGTTCAGTAATCAAGTAGATAAAATTATGGGCCGTCATCTCAACGACGTGGATTCATGCCCCACACTGGGGCCTCTAAATTGGTTGTTACCCTGTGTGTTTGATGCCCCTCTGTGTGCGTTTGGCTTCCGGTGGGGCGAGATGGCTCAGTGGTTAGAGTGCGAATTTACTGGCCGGAAGGTCCGTAGTTCGAACCCTGCCTCTGGCTCTCAACTTCCCCTGTCTAGGGTTGGGAACCTGCCAGTATCCCAGCCCTCGTGCTTCCTTCGGGTGGCATGGCACCTAGGCACCGAAATGGTGCCACAGCTGAACGACTATTTATTATTCGGCCTTCGATTTGAGCTTGATCGTGTTTGTTTGCTCCTTTTCGTCGCTGTTGAAGAAAACGGAACTGCATAAAATGCTTCCATTTTGCAGAGGGATGCTGTGTAAAGCTTATCGGCAGTTGGTCCCAAGTATACTCTTTCAATAAGCCGATGAAACCGAATGAAGTCCGTTTAGAGCCTACTTACCTCAAGCGAGTTTACAGTGATGTGCATCTTGTCACCAGCACAAACGTTCACCGTCTCATGGGGCCAAAATTATCGCGCTTCTTCACAATTCCTTTCGAGCGCACAGAACGGTCGCTAGTCTGTTTGCAGAAGGCGCAGACAGTTATAGACTTGCCGTGTCTCAGTTTGATAGGATTGCACTGCGTGAAAGCAGTTTACCTGGACGATCAACGTGGTGGTAAATCCGAACGGGAAGATGATGAGCACATGGCAATCAGGATCTCGGGGACCAAGCACGAGCACGACGATGCAATCATCAGCTCATCAGCTCTGTGCTAAATTAGACATGACTAGGTCCAGTTGGATTCGACAAATCGCTACTCTATACACCAGGCTGTGAAGATGCCACATTCTATCTGGGATGCTGACCGATCAAGCTTCAGAACCGTAAGCCAAACCAGGTGCTAAGTGGCGTTGTGCCTCTAGCTGGTCATCTCCCAAAGCGCACTTGTTAAAAATGGCTCTGTGGTGACATCCCTCCGGAGCATTGTTGTCATGCAACTCCTCTGGGACCAGCTGGCTGTCGCGATCTCATGGTCTCCATTTTGAGGGAAAGCAGTCGGGGAAATAGTTTTTACCCTGTCCCTCACGTCCTCGACCTGTTGACGAAAGGGCCACAACTGTCTAGGCAAGTAAAATTATCGATTCTCCGATCAGTTTTTATCGCTTTTAGTATTAGACTCCCAGCATACAGACGAAATCCATCCGTCCTTCTCGGGCGCAAAAGGAATTTGTTCAACCCCTGCAACGCCTCTCATATGATGACAACACCCGCCCGCCCGGCCGCATGTTTCACATAACCCAGGCAATTAGCTGGGTGGTAGATGACCTTGGCCTTGACCTAACGCCGATTTGACTACCTCTCACGCCTGCTTCAATTCGATTGGTTCACTTCTGTACCAGTCAGAATTCATGACAATATCAATCTCATTTCATGGGTGAAATGCTAATTTTTGGGTAAGATGGCTCAGTGGTTTGAGTGTGAAGTTACTGACCACGAGGTCGGTGGTTCGGGCCCGACCTCTGCAGTTCGACCTTACCTGTCTAAGCTTGGGTAACTTGGCAGTATCCCAGCCTTCGTGCTTCCTTCAGGTGGCTCGGTGGCTAGGCACCGAAAGGGTATTACAGCTGAACGATTATCTCTTTTGTCTTTTTACACAACTCTTCAGGCCAAGTAGCATATCTTGAAAGTTGGGGAATTCCGAACGAAGCGCTTCAGCATGATCTGCATCACCTAGGTCTTAAAAGCCTTTTTCTGGAACCATTCCAACCCGTTTTCAGTTGGATTTGGCGCGTTCGTCATATTGTGGTATTGGTCAGAACCGTTTAAAACGGTGTTTATGATTGGTGCATGTGTCAAGAGCAATTATTTGAAATTGTCTACTGCACCGGATCGCGTTTGCGAGTAGCGCTCTCACTTTTCTCTTGCATTTACTTAGCTATTTTCAGTAGTCAGGAGAACGAAGATGGTGAACAAAGGCTGTTTTTGTAACCGATCTCTTAGCTGTTACATAGTCAATTGGGATTGTATCAGTCAGAATGTATGTGCGATCACGTGTGCATGGATCAGCGGGGCCAAGAAATTGAACGAACCGCGTCAGTCAGACGTGTTCATGGAACACCGATTTTCGTAGACCAGCTCAGATTCACATGTTGACGAAGTTCCTTTTCAGTGCCGAATGTTGAGTCGGATTCTTGTAGCCTCCGCGATCGATAACAGTATGAATCGAGCCAGTCGTGATCGCTCCATAGGTCCCCGATACGTGATTCGGAAGACGTAATTTCTTTCGCTTGGCTGTGAAAATTGGAAGAATTTAGTACAGCTTACACCGCCATTGATTACTTTGTCGACAAAAAGCACTGCAAGACAGTTTAAACAGTTTCTGACAGCCTGGATCCATTACAGTACCTCCGGAGTAGATACCAGAGCGATCTTTTATCCGCGACGGCTCCTCTTTGAGAGGCCACAGCACTGGCAGGAACTTGAGTCCTCATCATGCATTTGAGGGCGTTGATAAGTCTCACTGCCGACAAAATCGAATAAGAAACGCATTAAAAAAACAATGGCAATCGTCACCAATTTTTGGTGTAATTGTAGCAGATAAGTCACTATCAGTACGCGCACTGTACTAGACGTTATAATATTCAGCTCGGTAATGTACAAAGACAGTGTATACCAGTTCGCTTGTTTTCGGATCTTGACGTAAGTTTATGAACGGCGACTTGATCATCACCATCGATTCTTCGCATCGGTTTCAATGGCTGTAAGTTCACCCCTAGCACATGACTTTCCTAACAACGGTTTCCTCTCACTAATGCGGCTTTTTATTGGGATGAAACCGGCTGTGTTACATCCACTTCACAGCACGCGTGGTGGTCCGTTGTCAAATAACTCACAAACCAAAGTGACACTTACTTGCGCGCGCTCATCTGTAGCATGCAGTGTAAAAACAAACGTTGGTCTTCGATTGACCCACCTTTCAGGAATGTCCGCGTGCGTCCTCCGAACGGAGCCACGGCCGCGTTGGGATTGTGACTGCAACTGACCTTACATTACCGCCACCCTTGCACCCCAGACACACTTGACCAGTTTCGTTTTTCGCTGTTTCCCCATCCTGAATTGGGTCCTGAGCTATTGCTCTAGAGTCCTGTTGACTGCCCCGGCTAATCAGGTGATCCGTTGTCTATTCTGGTTAACCGACAGTCGTGATTTCGTTCGTCACATGCTAGTCTTGCTTGTGGACGTGACCGGCAGTCGGCTTTTCGTCTACAAAGTGTCCCCCAATCGGACCAGCTGTTGCTAGACACACAGCTTTATCCGGTGCTATTTTGAGGCCAGATGATCCTGTAGACTAACCGTCCGGTAACCATTTAGGTTATTGTTGGCACCAACATATTGGTCGCTGGTTATTTGTTGTTCCAGGGTCAGGATACAAGAATTATTCAGAAATTAAGGGTCCAAGAACGTTTGTAATGTACTACTCACAAGGTTGCCGAAAATCCGTTGACAGCCCACGACCAGTTTCGCCCTTCTTGGGGCTCATCAGGTAAACGCTGTCCTTGAAACTTGAAACCAAATTGCACGAAATTAGCGAATATATACTCATTTGCAAACTAATTTGGCTTCTCGAGAGACTCACCTGGAACCCAGCTGAATCTCTCGTTTGTGATGTTTTCAGAATGTCCAAGAACGTTCTTTGAAACATCATTTTACCCGAAATCGTCATGCCTCTGTCTCGTGGACGACGACGAAATGCACGTTTCCCCCTGCAGGCAAACTAAGCCCAACTGCGGAACGCTCTCCGTGTGTATCCATTTGGCAGGCTGTTCTTCCCAACGAAAGGTGTTTACGAGCTAGTAATCCTCTTTTTCCCCAATGCTCGTTGTTGTCCGTTTTTGTTTGTTTGCTAGCCAAAATTCCCTCTCCCACCTTCGCATGTCAGTATCATGTGATCAACATCCGCTACTGGTGCTGTGATGTTGTCTGGCTAGCTGCTGGCTGGACAAGTGAGTCAGCTCCGGCCTCAGTCGACCAAACACCGACTGTTTTGTCTATGAATGTGCGCGTGTGTTTTATGCCCAGGAACAGATCGGTCGGCCCATCGATCGGGACTATCTCCATCCTCTTTTCATTTCACACGCAAGTCGTTGAAGGCTGTTCTGCTGTTGTTATTGCTGATGGCGTTGATGTGTGTGTGTGTGTGTGTGTGTGCGTGTACAAGCCAACAGCTTTGCTTGTACTTATGCGACACAAGTCGTCGTTATTCACCTCGCTTCATCATCTTTCAAAAACCGCCAGTTTAACTTATAGTTTTCTCTTTACCCAACCTTTCGTGTGCTTCTCAACATTTCCTATGATGACTAACTGTGACGGTACCAGCTGGACACGTGGTTGTCACATTCCGCTTGTCGGATTGGAGATCACCAAGGAAACGGTGCTGCATATATATTGGGCCAAGCACAGTGAATACGGTTCTTCTCTCAGTTTGGTTTGGTTTTCATTAGGCTCAGAGCTAAATTGCACGAACTGCGCGGCTAAGCAGGGGACTCTCATCGACATTTTCATACTACTTCCCGTCACCCCTAAATTGGTGTCCACAAACGATAACATTGAATTGCTCAGCTGTAACACCCTTCCGGTGCCTAGCTGCCATGCCACCCAAAGGGAGCACGAGGGCTGGGATACTGCCAGGTTGCCCAAGCCTAGACAGGGGAAGTCGAGGGGCAGAGGTCGGGCTCGAACCACGGACCTTTCGGTCAGTAAATTCGCGCTCTAACCACTTGGGCTATCTCGCCCCACGGTTGGGATAGAACCGGTGCGGCGTGATAGTACCACAGTCGTCACCACTGACAGCACAACATCAGTGTTGAACACTGACGGTTCGCCGCCGAACTACATGAAAGGCCTAATTGTGAAGGAATGAATAAAAATGGGCGGGGAAGGGACTTAGTGGTAGCCTTCCACAATCATTCCAAGTTACTTACACCTCCGAACACCCATTCAGAAATCCGGATAGAAACTGATAACAAGAACGCCACTGACATCGATTAGCAGCCATATCTTTCAGCGTCTCCAGCCAGATGCGGTGGAGATTACGCGGTCCTGGAAGGTAAGTCGCACCGACAGCACTCAAACGTTTCGCAATCTCCTTCATGCCTTTTCGCCAGGCCAAGGGTTGGCCACCTCTCTGCTCCCGCCACTCTAAATTGGGCTCGGAGAACAGCACTCTCTTCGGCATGCGCAATACATGGTCTAACCAACGCAGCTTCCGGTACCGAACACATTCTCCGATGGAAGTCCCTGTTGCACAACCGAAAACTCGCTATCTAGTTGCCGAGTTACGAATTCGCCGAAACCGACCTAAACGATCCATGGTTCTGGCTCAATTGATTGGACGAGATGGCCCAAGTGTTTAGAGCTCGAATTTACTCACCGGAAGGTCTGTGGTTCGAACCCGACCTCTGCCTCTCGACTTCCCCTGTCTAGGCTTGGGAAACGTGGCAGTATCCCAGCCCTCGTGCTTCCTTCGGATGGCATGGCAGCTAGTCATCGAACAGGTAATGACAAACGATCAGTGAAATCCAACTTCACTACGCGTCATCCGGAAAGGATAGAGAAAAAAACCATCAGCAGCACATACTGATTCCTCCACTATTCCTTTCCAAGCATGCTCTAGGGACAAATCTTTCACCCCTCTTCCTAACTCGAGCATTCTGGCGTAATCCAGGCTGTCACGATTGACCAGTGATCGACCTAGTTAATAATAGCTTTGCTCAAACATGAACACGTTCGCCTGTTTTTATGTGATAATTCGAATGCGCCCAGCGCGCTCTGGTGAAACACCGCCAGTCCCTTGCATACAGGAAACCCTGGATTTCGAATGCAGACACGGCCAGTCACTGCTGATGACCTCCAACAGGAGTGATGTGGATAGAAATCTTCACGAATCCCACAACCGCCTATAATTAGACGTCGGTCCAGTTCTCAACAGTCAATCTACCCTGCGTCAGACCAGGAGAAAAGCGAGGCTCTCAAAAGTATATGACCACGAACAGCCGTTGATACAATGAGACTGTCCTGAGATCTCACCATCACATGCACGTGAAGGTACCCGCCGAACCTTTGGGGTCTCCTTCGAATTCCAAGTTTCGCTGAGTGACGAATCCCTCTGTAGTTTTCAAGTACTTGTTCCGCTTCTTTTGTGGTAGGTATTGGTCTGCTACGTCTGTACTTGGGGCTGCGGATCGTACCATATAGTAATGTTTCCGTCCAAAACTGACCGTCAAACTACTCTTTGAAGATAGTAAGTGTGGAAGCCTATTTCGAGGTGAACGTTAGCCTGGCGAGGAGTTCCTTGGACAGTGGGGGGCTGGTGGGCTGGTTCCGTCTAATGGCCGGGAAGATGATGAAAAGACATGAGAACGATGGTTTTGATTAGTCTGGATTAGTTGGTTTTTAGTTTTTAGTGTTCAGTTGTAATACCCTTTCGGTGCCTAACTGCCATGCCACCCGAAGGTTGCACGAGGGCTGGGATACTGCCAAGTTGTCCAAGCCTAGACAGGGGAAGTCGAGAGGCAGAGGTCGGTTTCGAACCGTAGACCTTCCAGTAAGTAAATTGCGCTCTAACCACTTGGACTATCTCGCCCCTTGATAGAGATTGGGAGCCGCGAGTGTTGCCACTACACGAAAACAGTGAATATATTCAATGCGGACCAACCGAACTATTCCGTCACAAACACTCATAAATCCCCTTGCAACAACCGGATCTAGCTACAAATCAAACTTCATTCGTCTGTCACGAACAAATCACTACGTTGCGCCATCTTCAAAAGGTGGATGCTGTATCCAAAGTACGGTACTTCAGCTAGATGCATGCTCATGCCATATTCAAGCCAAATTCTATGACTTTTTCGAAATGGATAGGGATTGGTAAACATCCGCTATGTGAACGACTGTCAGTAACAGCGCTGTGTATTCATGAATTCACGTTCGCAAAGCCCTCGTCTGAGTGATCTTCCCGATGTCCTGGCGCAATTATTTTGGTAAGCCAACTTTCGCCGTGCCGGGTTTTGAACTCCGTACGTCCGACATCCTAGGCCACCGTGTTTCCCCTATGGATACACCCTGACTAAACAGGCGAAAGCGTTCACGCTTGGGTGACCAATTGACACGCCTGTCAAGACTGCCCAGTCATCTATGGACGCTTGGAACCTACCGGATAGTCTTTGGTTCAGTGGACGCGGGATTCGTAGCATCCAACTATAGGCCTCTACCTCCGGCCGATGAACGATACGCACCGCTATTAAAAGCAAAACTCGAATCCACTGCTTTCCCCCTTTGGTGCGGACTCAGCGCAGTAATTGCCAAAGGTCTGTTCAAGTGAACGTGACTTCTACAAACGCCCCAATCACGTACAGTTATCCTACTTATGAGTTTGTTTTCTTTTTCGGTAATTTCCGAGATACTGATCTACATGAACTGATGGTGTTGTGGTACGTCATGTGCACGGCCGCGCCATTAAAAATTCGCCCCGACTAACCATGGTTGTGAGATGTGGTGAACTTGTCAAATCACGTTTGATTTTGAGTAAACAGCTACAAACATCTCTGATGTGAAATGATAGCTTAGAGCAAGAATGTACCAATCTAATGTTTCCTGAAAAGGACGTGGAATGTACTCTGAATGGACGTTGACCGACTGGGTGCGACCACGTGATCCGAATGGTGTGCCGTTGGACTAACTTTGCAACATGTCAGTATGTGATCTTGGAAACACTATCCAGATTCTGCCGGACCATTTTCTCGGCAATCCAGATTTGTAGATAAATGTGTGAAGGCATGTTCAATGAGTGCTCCTATAAATCTCGATGGGTTAGCTTTCCATCTCTCCAGACATTCAAGAAGCCCAATGTCATTGGTTCTGTTGTCGCTGGTCGATTGACCACCCGCCGCTCTGTTCATCATGCATATGTTTGTTTTTCATCTTTAGGGTAACAGCTCCGGCACATCGCTCCATTCCCACGCTTTCTGCTATGCACTGATGAATCAGTCCAACTTAAAATCGATACACTTGATATCGTGGACATTCTATTTCGCTTATTGTTGGTTGTTTGTTTCCGAACAACACAGTTCATTAGAATATCTCGGCGACATTAGCTAGGCCACAGTCGCTCGAAGGTTGTGCGTTTGTTCCTTAGGTTATGTGCCAGCTCAGATCCCAGTGATGCAGCTTTTGGGTTGCACCATTTGCCGCCAACTTCTGATGTGCTGATTTTAAGGTTCGTACTTCCATGCACATCAAGGCGGGTCTAACTTGGAATCCGATCGATCCTTTCAACCGAAGTTTCTGTACCCTTTGTCACGCATGTCACTCACATGCACTTTTCTTTGCGATAGCAACAAAGCGATTCGATTCGGTGTAAAGCATTTTCGCCACACCCCACCTCTCCCGGGTCACCTATCAATACATCCCGTGATAAACTTACAAGACCATTCCCGTTTTCCACAGTTACTCCACACTGTGTGGACAAATTTGAAGAATTTGGGGCGAGCAGAATTTACAAGACCCAAAAGCATCGAAAAATGAAAAACGGTTGTGACAAAACTGTCGGTATCCTCTCGCTGATAGATTTTGCTGACAATATCTGGCTGCTCCACCTCACTGCCATCGCTTTACTGAATGTGTAGGTGATATTTTGAACAATCCTTCCCTTTTTTTTTCGTTCCAAACCAACCCAGTTTTGCACTAACAGACGTTTTCATCTTTGTACACTCGCTGTGCTAGTTAGTATGCTCTGCGGGGTCCCAGTAGGGTGAAGACCAAGTCTGCTTTAGGTCGGAGATCCTCGAGAGACGGAACGGAAACTAGCTCAGGATAGTGTGAGGCATTAAATACCGTTTTGTGCTGTTCAGCCATGGCAACAAGAGACAGTAGTCTGATTGCTGGGTGCGTGTTTATCAAGGTCGGTAGCATTACTTTGCTCATTTCTCAATCTGAGGATGTCTCCAATTAAAGTTACAAACTTGGGAGATCAGCGCTCGCTGTCACCGCGTTCACAGCGGGACTGTTCTCAACTGCGATAATACAGAGGAGTGCGGTGCATTCAACCTCCATCCAACTCAATACCTCTCCCATCGAACGAATCTCGCGTCACCTGGAGTCAGCGACGCGCCTCTCTGATCATCATTGATCAGGATAACGTCCATACCACTGGACCAGGTGCGAGTTTGTCTTGTTATCTGAGCAGATCATCAACATTAGTTAACGGTTAATGAGACCCCGTAGAGTGCATTAACCCAGAGAATGTACAAACGTGTCTACGCTCCCAAGACTGATTTAGTATGCGCCATGAAATGGTAGTGGAAAGGTCTGTCAAAATGTTCTAAAAAAAACGTAAACGTTCATCTGCAGCGCCCTTTCGGTGCCTAACTTCCATGCCACCAGAATGGAGCACGAGGGCTGCGAGGCTGCCCAAGCCTAGTCGAGAGGCGGAGGTCGGGTTTGAACCACGGACCTTCCGGTCAGTAAATTCGCACTGTAACCACTTGAGCCATCTCAAAATTTTCTGATTAAATTCAAAAAGAAGTATGGTAAAGTGGTGAAAAGCACCAGAAACCACCACCGAACTCTCTTTCGAGGAGATGGCGCCGTAGGGTGTTCATTTTTCGCATCCGAAATCCGTGTAATCCTATCCACGGGGGACTGAGTTATTACGGAAACCGGGCGAGATGAGCGGGATGGCCCAAGTGGTTAGATCGCGAATTTACTGACCGGAAGGTCCGTGGTTCAAACCGGATCTCTACCCCTCGACTTCCCCTGTCCAGCCATGGGTAACCTGACAGTATCCCAGCCCTCTTGACTCCATCGTGTGGCATGGCAGTTAGGCACCGAAAGGGTGCTACGTCTGAACGATTTTTATGTTGAAAACCGAGTTATTCCAAAACTGTGTCTCAATGAGTGTACAGACATCCGGGCCAATTATGTTGAGTCTTGATTATTTAATCAAGAATTCCCCATCTCTAACGTTGACTTTTCAATGTCCTCGGTCAGCTGATATTCTTCCACGATAACTTGCTTACCTCACCATCCAGCTGGCTAACTATGCATTTCAATGGCTACCCAATGTTAGAAGTCAGTCACATCAGCCGTGTCGGTTCGTTCGACAGTCTAAGCATTGATTTGTGCGAACGAACATTTAGATAACACGTAGGCGATGCCATGCGGTGGTCGATCGGTTTAGTTCGGTAGCGGAACTAGACAGGGTTTTTATAGACGCGAGAGTTCATTTTGTATGGTCGCTCAGAAAGTCAGTGAATGCGCATGCTGCGTCCGCTAACGCTCGTTCGTATTTTGCAACCTATAGATCGGCTTGCTGTCTCAAGTGGATGGCGATGCGATAAAGTGCACAGCAACCGGAATCAGAAACACTGACCGATGGATATGTTGAACGTGCCTTCGTATGCCCGGCTGGATGTACAAGGTACACGAGGCTGCATCGAGCCTCGCATCAGCCCAACTTTATGTTCATTTTTTAAGTGTAGTCCTAATTGTTGAGCTTCTATATCCGATGTTACCCATCTGAACGTTTATCCTACCGATACAGCCAGTGTATGATGGAAAATGGATAAGCGTTTCATCCTTCTCGGAACTCTGGTGGTGTGCGTCTCACAAATTTCTGGCAGGGGCTCGAGTCTGTGACCTTTCGCTTAACAGCTGAACTCTACATAACTCAGTCTTGCTTAGCGAATCAACAATGTCAGTAACTTGCACTGACAGGGTTGGACGCTACCGTCCTTCAATCGCACCGCTTACGTCACGGCTGCCCACAACCTCATGTCCATCTGTCCAAATCCGCTTCAGATGCTGCGCCCTCGAGACACTCAGCTGAAGTACAACCCGGGCTCTCAAACATGGAGTGGATTCTAGCCACCGTCCTTCCTGTCAGAAGCCTGCACTCAATCCAGAGATCCAGAGAACAGGCTCAATGTTCTAAGGAAAGCAGATGCACTAGAATACGTTTTCAGTAGCTCTGTGCACTTAGTGACACCGTGTCTTCGTCATTCTCGTCAGTTCGACTCTGTTCAGGGCGTTTCAACCCTGACCGGATTCTCTGACCTCGTTGTAGAAACCGTCTTGGATCTGTAGCTCTCGCTAATGGATAAATTTCGTTCGACTGTCTACCGGATAAACTTGTGCGCGCGCACACACACACGCACACACTAATCCGCTGATCTTTGCTCCCTACCTTATATGATGGGAAAAGATGTCCCATCTGTTTATCAACAAATTCTGTAATAGGATTAAACCAGACTTGTTCAACAAGCTTATTAGTTTGTGCCTTTTTCTAATAGTATCGATTTCACTCCAAATTCTACTCGGTTATGCTTGTCAGCATACGCGAGCTCCTCCGCTGTGTTATTAATTAATGGTATGTAACAAGGGGGAGACATGTGCGGTGACACCTGGTTCATTCGTCCTTCTTCCAGTTTTGTCGCTTCTATGGGATACCGGTTAATTCGCACAGTTTGGCACCCTTTCTCTTACCTACCACAATCACCCCACCCCTAGTGGCTGGTTCTGGGAGATCCCATCAAAATCCTATTTTGATCCGTATAAAATGAGCTCCGACCATTCTGCGGGGGATGAGGATCGAATCGCACTGTCTTTCCACTTGAATAGCACCGCATCGAAATACTGGCAGTTCAGGTGCATTTTTCTGGTTGTTGATTTGTTTCTTGTGTTTGGAAATGGTTTCTCAAAACTTTCCACCACCAGTGTGCATGACTGTATGTACAGCGCCATCAAGCTGTCACCTGCCGTGTCTGTCTGTTGAACGAACCGGCGGGGGGAGGTTGAGACAACCCTTCTTGGGCTTTCAGGAGCGAGCACCTGCATGCCACACGAATAAGTCCCAAATCCAATTGATTGAAACCAATGGTAGTTGTGAAGTCAATATAGCTAGAGGTAACACTGTCCATCGTGTTGCAGGCTTAGTTCAGTTGTAGTTACCACCGACCAGCCATTTGTGTGTGTCTGAGCTCCGTCTCCCGACTGGTGCTCTTTTGCGTATACTGTAGGGCTCGGCTGTTCAATACTGCCCATTGGATTTGGCTATTACGTTCTAGCAAATAAGCATGCTGATTGCGCTAGAACTGTCGGGACGAGTTGGCTCAGTGGTTAGAGCGCGAATTTGCTGACCGGAAAGTCCGTGGTTTGAACCTAACTTGTGCCTCTCGGCTAGGCTTGGGCAGGCTGGCAGTATCGCAGCCCTCGTGCTTCATTCTGGTAGCCTGACAGCCGGGCACCGAAAGGGTGCTACAGCTGAGCGATATGGTGCCCCGAGTGGAATCACGAGGGCTGGAACACTGCCAGGTTGCTCAAGCCTACACGGGAGAAGTCGGGTTCGAACAACGGACCGTCCGGTCAGTAAATTCTCACTCTAACCACTGAGCCATCTCGTCCCGGGATAACCGGCTATGAATGCCCCAAAAGTTTGTCAGCATCTGGCTATATTACCGTATTTCAGATCATCCTGTCAGTTTACTGTTGATAGTAACGTGAATGGCCACGTGGTTAAAGTTCCCTCTTAATTCAGTGACTTGTGTATCTATCTACCAGCAGTAAGGTCGCTGTGATGAACGCTGTAATCGTTTCATTTGAATTGCATGTCAGTTTTTCGATGACTTCTAACCTTTTTCGTACACTCCCTACTTTCAAAAAGTTCGTTCTGTACCTCGCAATCGACGCCTAGCGTTCGGTGACCAAGTTGGTTTTTTACCATCTACGCACACCACAGCTTGCTGTCAGCAACAACCTCCATTCCACACAAACTGATTAGCAAGTCAGATCTCTCGGTTTCTTTCTCATTATCTATCCATCTATTTATGTGGGTCGCTGCACACAACTGCTGTTTCCTTTTGTATGCTCCAAGATGACGACCTCATTAACCGGGCGTTTTTTGGAGTCCTTAAAGTGGACGACTTTATGTTACGCATTAATAATAATAATAATAATAATAATAATAATCGTTCAGCTGTAGCGCTCTTTCGATGCCTAGCTTCCATGCCACCCGAAGGAAGCACGAGGGCTAGGATACATCCAGGTTTCCCAAACCTAGACAGGGGAAGTCGAGAGGTGGAGGTCGGGTTCGAACCACGGACCTTCCGGTCAGTAAATTCGCGCTCTAACCACTTGGTCCATCTCGCCCCGTTAGAAACCGCCCACTCTTCGCCTCGTTATCTACGTAATTACGCATGTGTCCGCCTATCCCCACTGGTGTATAGCATCTCAGGTCCCAAATCCAAGTTTGATGCTTCGTTTCCAAACTTTTCGAGTAATAGTAGTATCTCACTTTTCTCGTTGGCCATTCGTTCTCGGGAGCTGATCTCAGGTAATGCGCGTTGCATTTTCAAAATGCCCCTCTGAAAGTTCAGGACGAAAAACTTGAGTTTGTTGATCGGTTCGCTTGACAGCCGCATGCGTCCATACGGGATAAGCAAGGCCTGGGAGTATTGGCGGCCATCTTGGGTCGTTCGTGACGTCAGGAGCGAACTGAGCCACAGTAACAGTAAGGCGGCCTTGCTTTGTGGTTTTTGGACTCGCCTCCCCCTTCGGCCCGAGCATCCCAGAAGTTTTCGATCTTTTGATGACCAGTGCCGGGTGCGAATCAGAATCTTTAGAACAGCAGAATGTCCAATCATCGTCTACACAAAGGAGCGTTGTTTTCCGTTTCAAGCCATTGTTCACGAGGAACAGGTGATGACATGACAACGGGAAATGAACGTGGTTGCAGACAAGCCGAATGCTGCGGGGTCTTCGAGCCTTTCTGGTTCGGGCTCACGTAATTCCGCCTGCACGTGGCTGGGAACCCTGCGGGACATGGCACGCATGGTGTCATTTCTTAGCCGGGCTGCCTAGCTCAACTTCATCTGTCGTGCGTTGGGCTTATATCCAGTGAGGTTCGATGCATCTGATGGCGCTTTAGTGCTGTCCAAAGGTGTAGACACCTTATTCTTGATCGTATTCCTTAAGGAATTAAGGGTTTATCCGCACTAAGTCCCTACTCATCTTTACTAAGGCTTTTTTCTATCGTGATAATGTCGTAGTTAAGCACCAGTATTTACTACTACTGTAATGGTGACACTACTAATTGGGGCATGCGAGTAGTATGTTTTCTCCTAAATCCGCTTTGCGTCTCTTGAAAAGTGAGACCTATTACGGAACTTGTAGAATCGCATTTGCCTGGATTTGAGCAACAGTCGATGAATATTCAAGAAACTTCAGGAAGACGCGTTCAAGGAGAAGATGGATATTTAGTTTTTGTAAACAAAATGCCAATGAGAGTTTTCCTTCCCTGTCCAATAGTCTAACTGTTCAGTTGGCATTTTCTGATAAATAACTCCGCAGCGAAGGCTTTCCCTTCACTACTAATACTGTACTTTTATCGTGGATGATGGCCATTCGGAAGTTTCATCTCCACCGAAAACCCGGCCCTTCGGAAAGTCGGTTCCAAGCTCAAAATTCTTACCCAGTTCGATAAAACGGTTTTCAGCTTATCGTCTTATGAGCAGGCTGATTTTGTCCCAGTTATCAGCGGTTCACAAGCCAGTTTCTCACCTATTCGAACGTAAATCCGGGTCCATAATTTCAGTAGTCACTCATACTAAATCTGGTGGCCGGTTCCGTCCTAGTACGCCATGAAAACAATTCCTTTTTCCCGTTCCAATCTCCTTCCTTACCACCAAATTTGCACGTCCTCTCGTTCGAGCCCTAAGTTATGCGCCTACCTCCCTCAAGAAGCAATTTAAAAAATATTCAGTCATGTAGCTAGGTGAGCTTTATGATGGCTCCCCTAGACTCGCGACATTGGATAGAGTATGGACTAGTTGAGGATTCATTGGCGTCTTTGAAGTGAAACGTCCTATGGGGATCCAGTGCCTCATTCAATGTCTGTCCATCCTTTTGCGTCTCCTGTGACTCATCCTGGTGATACATGGCTCCATGATAACTCATCCTATTTCAACAGAACAGGATCACTGTGAATGCCCCGATGTGTGGTTTAATGCGGGATAGATAGGTAGATAGATCAGTTCCGATTTGCGATTCGCGAATAACCGGGACGGACGAAATCTGGATCGCGACATATAATGGAAGAGCTGTTCCATGCTGTTCAACCATTCATGGAGCTCCACCTACATGCGAGTTCATCAACCAGCTACACAAACGAAGGGGTAATGAAGACCTTGATGATGCCATCTCAACATGGTTCTCTTTTTGGTTTGTGTTTTAAATCTCCGTGGCAGGCATGTCATTTATTCAATGACATTTCATTGCACGTGCCAGGGAGTGATGCACCCCGGATCAACCATACCTTTATTCGTTTACCCTTCCCCGGCAGGTTGTCAAAAATCGTTATGATGGAACCATGGGCAGTCTGGATCTGTTGTTTCACAAAGATCGTCTCTCCTTTCGACCGCGAGCCAAGGAACTCGTAGTCCAGGCGACCGCGCATGACAGTGTCTAACACACACCCCCCTCTCCCTTTTTTCTATCCACTTTGTACAGTTCCCCTGCTTATTGACGCACGCCACCTCACTGTCGACAATGCAGCAGATTACCGTCAGATTTTCTTTAGGGCCGATGCTTTTTTAAAAAACTACCACTGTTTGATAGAATTATTTTTGACTTGGCGTTGTTAAGTATTTTCCGTATTCACGGGGCTTACGGGGATCGCCATCATCGACAGCAAAACGTCAGTGTTCAATATTGACGCTTCGATGCCGTACAACCATAATTTATTTGAAAGCCTTATTGTGCATAAAAGAATAAAAGTGGACAGGGGCGGGTCTTAGTGCTACCTTACTACAATCATTCCAAGGGGGTTGCACCTCCAGACGCTGAAGAGAAACTGCCAGCAAGAACGCCATTGAAATCATTTAACAGCAGCATCTCCAATCACGCAGACCCCGTCCTGAAAGGCGAGTCGTACAGACGGCACGCAGACTTTTCGTAATCCGATTCCCCTCTGCCAGGTCAAAAGTTGGCCACCTATGTTTGCGTCTGAATCGGGCACGGAAAGCATGTTTCAGATCGAGGCTTTCGTCAGCAGCTACTTGAACCACAGAGATTTGAAGAGCTCTCACCTTTCGTCTCTTTATCTCCTTGATCACAAAGTTAAACAGGAATGGAGAGAGAAGGCTCCTTGTTGGACCACTCTGTGTAGAGAAGCTTTCGGACAGTGGTGCTCCGTATGCTCTCACCTGCCAAGGTTTCCTGGGAATTCGTGCGCTGTGCGATTTTTGGCGCCAGTGACCACCTACAGTCATCCTTTTCTGCGGGGACAGGATAGAATTAAAAGCATACCGTTCACTGCAGTCCTCTCCCATTTCAGCTCTCTCTCTCTCTCTCTGCGGTCCACTTCCCTAATGAACCCACAGACACGCAGGGACATCAAGAAACAATTTTGCTACTTGAGTATTCAATAGGTATCCTTTTTACTCAGAAGTTGGTCGGCATAGGCGCTTTTGTTTACCTAAAATTTTCGGCTCGTCGGTAGAAGGACACCTCATTGCCGTTATTGATTTTCTCTCTATTGCATTGCGGACTCTTCAGCCAGTTGGCCAGCAAGCTGTTCTTCCATTTACTAAAGAGAATATGTTAACGAACATCCGTGCATTCCCGTCGCTCCGCATTGTTCTCACTTATTCACTCGCTGCACCAAATGATCGATTTCGCCATCTGGAGGCTGTTCGTTGCGAACTTCAGGCGATTTTTCAACTGATCTACCTGATCGAGCCGGTGTTGCTGTAGCTGTGGTTGCGGGATTCTGTAGAACACACAGTCACATGACTCCCGTTTGAACAGTCGTCCTCCTGTCCTCGCGCAATCATCCTTGTGAGTCCACACCAGGACTCGAGTTTCGCCGTTCTTAGGACTCATCAACAGTACATATCCAATGGCTATGCCGGGGTTTGAACTCCACACATCTGGCATGCGAGGCGAGCGTGTTACCACCAGCGCACGCTGGACTCATCCAGATTTTTACGTTAGAACAGGTGAACATGTTCGGGCTTGACGAAAACCCAGTAACGTACCTTGGTCGTGTCGATCGATTGGCGCGCCAGTAGACGCTTCAAATCCTTTGGACACATTTCGTTTCAGGTGTTAGTGGTAGCGGGAGTTTGAAGAATACACATTCACATGGCTGTCCACTCCTCGCGCAATCATCCTGGTGAGTCCACACCAAAGCTCTAAAGTCCCGAAATGACACTTCCGGGTTCGATTGGGCGCTCATAAGTAGTTGTCCGCGGGCTTATCCTTTTCGATAAATTTCAACCGATAGGTTGAAGTTACAACCGCCGTTTTTGTGATATCTACTATCCATCCATGGAGGTTCAGCTATCATCCTGAGTTCTCAATGAACTGGTGAGGCATCTGAATTCGCCTGAGCCACGCCTTAGTAGTAGATGTAGGTTAGTGTACGGAAAATAGTGGACTTTGCCCTGAGCGCCGGTCGTTCCTCGTCTGTACTTTCCACGTTACCCCCGATGTCGGGAAGTTGTGGAGTCGACTCCATCCTATGACAATCAGCCCCGCAGGCGATACTCAGTACTCATTGTCCTGCTGTGTATGCGGTAATTCAAGTCACTCCCCCCCCCCCCCCGACGTGCCTACGTTTTCATTGGTAAAATCCCAGAAGGAAACCTCTGGGGCAGCAGTTGAAAGGCTTTCTTGACTGAGATAGGCACTAATGCTAAATGCTACCAGTGGATGATTGAAAAGTGGTCTTGTCAGCAACATGATTCATATCTTGATTTCTCGAATATCGTAGCAACTAAAAAATGAGGCGGCTTGTGGTGTGGATGCGCTAACTCAAGTCACCCCCCCCCCCGAAGTGCCTACGTTTTCGTTGGTAAAATCCCAGAAGGAAACCTCTGGGGCAGCAGTTGAAAGGCTTTCTGAACAGTGAGATAGGCACTAAAGCTAAATGCTACCAGTGGATAATTGAAAAGTGGTCTTGTCAGAAACATGATTCATATCTTGGTATCTCGAATATCGTACCAACTAATAAACTAGGCGGCCTGGTGCAGCACAGTCAGTTGCCTAGAAACATCATAAAGGGAGATCTAGCTGGGTTTCAGATGAGTCTCTCGCAAACCCACATTTATCTGCAAATGAGTCTAGTTCGCTTATTTCGTGCAATTTGGGTTCAAGTTGAACATAAGGTTGCCGGAAACTCGGGGGACTGTGCCTACCTGATAAAACAGTCCAATTTGGGTTCAAGTAGAACACAAGGTTGACGAAAACTCGAGGACTGCGTCTACCTGATGAGCCCCAAGAAGGGCAAAACCGGTCATGTGCTGTCGAAGCATTTTCAGCAACCTTACGAGTAATGTGTTATGGGTCACAACTCTTTTCAAGTGACACCCGCTATAGATTACGCTGGAAGTGCAGTATATCATGCTTCCCAGTCTACACGATTAACAATGGATCTCAGACAAGTCACCTGACGGTCTACTTCCACGGGATAGGTACCTTTTCTTCGACGACTGGTGTTTCAAGATGAAAAATCCTAAAGAACTCTTCCTACAGAACGTGATATCCCAACTTTCTTCGAGAAGACCGAGAAAATTTGATCCTTAGTTGAACTGGGAATCCAAGCCAACACTCTTCAATTGGAACAATGAAGCAAAACGTAAGAAAACAGACACATCCGGGACTACTGTTTCGTGTAGAATAACACTGGACTGCAGCTGCTCGACGTTTGTACCATCCACGTGTTCAAACTACCAGGCGGGAGGATGCGAGCTCAAGTCTATCTGGAGTTTCGTTAGATGCACATTACTGATGCTTATTTCTAATAAGGATGGATACAGTACTCCTCGGCTCTTCAGCATAGATTAGCTCCACTTACATGACGCAATGTCCACTCAAAGAGGTATAGGAGGACTGTGACAATGCAAACACGACCCAGAAGACAGTCTGGCATTTCAGTAGTACTCATTTTCTCAGAGGAATATTTGATTTGTCTCCCGGGATAGGAGTACTAAATGTTATAACTATGACCGATTCTAAACAATGTGGAATTGAACTGCGAATGGCTTAGCCACAAAATTTCGCCCCACGCCTGTTTGGTGAACTCAAACAACTAGTAGCGGACTTTTGGAGTTTTGTGAACCTTTTGAGTGGTATTCCATCAGAAAAGAAGGAAGTCTGATAGAGACTAGACTAAACTCTTTCACCAGACCAAGTGCGTGAACTATGGGAGTGGCCGAATTTGAAGATCACTTTCTTCCAACTGGCGCATTAGATCGGACGCACATGGGTTTGAATCTTTGGTGTGGGTGACTAAATCCCAGGTAGCTGATGGGTTGCACAAACCGCACAGAAGCTCCGACTTTGTCGTTGTGAACGGACAGGAACTCAAGCCAATCCATTTTTCTCTCACCTATTCAGATTCCCTAGGGACCAGGGCCATTTAGTGAGGTGTAATCAATACACCCAAAAGTTAGTTGGGGGGAATTTTCTGTCACCACGAGATCCCGCAACCTCATAGTAGTTTCAGTTCACGAGAATTTCAAACCGTTTGATTTTTGGACACAGTGACCTTTGCCGATATCTGCGTGTCACAGCTGGAACAAATGTTTCGGCAGCGATTCCAGACAGACATACCGGTTGCGTTCGAATGCACCGTACAAACAACTAAACACTGTCATCAGTTGCGCCTCACTGTTTGTCTGTACACACAAAAAAATTGCGAACCGAATATCAGACGGATATTTGGGGTGGAGACAAGCGTGGAACCCAGGACGCCGCTGAAAGACTAACGAAGTCCATGTGCGCTTTCCAGATAAGATTTGTCCCAACGGAACCCAGGACGCCGCCGAAAGACTGGCGAAGTCCATGTGCGCTTTCCGGATAAGATTTGTCCCAAAAGAAATGCAGGTGTGGTTGCGACCTAGTCAGGTCTCGAACTTAACGGAGATATGCTCAAAGTGGGAAACGGCTGCAGCGCAAATGGTGTCTGTGACGAAATAAGCTACGGGTTCGCGAAGCTATATACATATGAGAGATGACTTAGTGGTTAGGGCGCGGACGTACTAATTGGAAGGTCCGTGGTTCCAACCCAACCTTCCCCATCCCGGCTGTTCTTATTGAGTTTGAGCAACTTGCCAATGAAAGGCAGCTTTACATGGTATAATCTCATATGGTTGAGGCATTTTAATCTGACCAAAGCACAAATTTGTGTTACGATTCGCCAATGCTTGTCACGCAAAGTGGTGCTGTTTGCTTAACTGAATCTATGATTCCAATTTGTCACGTGATGAAGAACAGCGAATAGCCAAAGTCCCATCGGTTCCATCTTCACAACGCAACCAGTTGTTCAAACCGCCTTTCACAGGGTCTTCAAACAGCCAGTGCTTTTAGCAGTTTGAAAAAATGTATCTGGGCGGGTCCATGCCTTATTTAAGCTGAGAGAACTTTTGAGAATTTTGAAAGTAGGCGGGTTTCTGATTGGTTAACGGTTTCCCTCAAGACAGTTTTTTCTAACGTGAAAAATGGGGGGACAGTTGCGTGTCGCTACTTAGAATTTTCGGTTAACCGTTTCCAGGAGTATGTCAGATCAATGAAAAGCACTGCTGAGGCAGGCCACATCAAATGTGACATAAACTAGTGTAGTTTGTATTGACATAATACACTACTCATAAGGTTAGTGATAACTCTTAAACAGCCCACGACCGGTTTCGCTCCTCGTGGGGCTCATCAGCTGGGTTGCAGATGAGTCTCCTGTTAGACTCAAATTGGCAGGCAGATGAGTGTGTAGGTGGAACTTTGTGTAATTTGGGTTCAAGTAGAACATAAAGTTGATGGAAATTCAAGGACTGCGCCTACCTGATGATGTAGCCCGAAACAGAAGGGCGGGGAGTTTTCAGCAAGCTTATGAGTAGTGTATTACGTCCATATAATGTGTCACGATATCTCGAATGTCACACGAACTGAAACCTGGGGCAGCCTGATGCAGCATATTCAGTTGACTAAGAACATGATAAAGGGGACATTCAGCTGGGTTCCGTTCCAACTGAATCGACCGTCAAAAAAACCAACTTGGTATGCAGATGAACGGATACATCAGGACTGTAGTTTGTCTTTCCTTTGCTTAAATATACTTGTTTTTTATTCAAACATAGTAGAATCAGAGCAGTTCTACCTTGACGCGGCAGCCAAACAGGAATGTTACGGAGAAAACCACAGAAATGAGGATTGATATTCCCAAGAAAACCCTGAAACCCGGATTGATGGATCGCCTTTGTTAAATTGGTGTACACTACAGGAACGGCTGGCTTTGAAACCAAAAGAATCCACGAAATCCCGTCGCAGGATTCATGTTGAACCAGGACGCACTCTCTTGACATGGACTCGCGATATTAGGAGTGGCATTTCAAAGTGTCTTATCCAATCGCTCTCAATTGTAGTCAAACGGCTGAGTGCTCCAACCAATAACTGGGCGGTCGCAAGTTCCAGACTCCACGAATTTTCGTTGGATGTGCACTGCTGGTGATCCTCAATCAGCTAGAATCAGCTACACGTGTGCACTGCTGGTGATCCTCAATCAGCTACACAAAGGTTCTGGGCTTTTCTGACCTCGCTTTCAAGAAGGAAATTATCTGACGATCTCTTCAATGTGAACAGATTGCAAATCTTCGCATTCGGAAACGGACCCCGGAGTTGAAGGCTACAATTTGTAAAGTGCTCAACCTACAGATTCATCAAGTGCCAACAGCCAACTCTGACGCTGTATTTTCGCTAATGGCTCGCGCGTTCTCTACACCAGTGCTTTCGTTAGAAATATGACGTCTTACAACTTGGCTTGCTGAGCACACAGCGATCCCATATCCCATGACAAGCACACACCTATGAACAAATGAACGGTGACCTTCATGGCCCTGGGACACAAAACACCTGACACACACGCAAATGGTTCAGATTTAGTCATTCTATCGGTTTACGTCAGAGCTCACTTTCGAACGGGTTATCTATCCGGATTTGTTTTTGCAGCGCACCAATCACAGCCCCAAATTGCGGTTTTATCTCTGTCGCTGAATGGTGACCTGAGCCGAATTCTACCCGGTCCTCCACTTCATTTCGAGAAGCTCTGTAGAACCTCAAGACATGCGATCGGATTTGATAGATTCAGTTCACCTTTGTGGGAATAAACCGATGCGTTCGAAAGACACTCTCCGTTTGCCGCTCGCCAGCAACGGAGTTTTTTCCCGAACAGTACATGCGTAAACAACGGAATGTGGAAAACCAGATCGGCAATATATTTATGAGTTCCCTGAAAGATTGCGTGTGGTGGTATCTTTGAAACGCAAAACAAGCCCCTCTTACCGCCTAATGCACTGTGGACACGCACACCATTCAACAGTGAAGTCACACAATGTAACGCGAAGCGCTTGAGTGTACCATTAGAAGGATGCACACTGATCGATGTTGCTGCCGCGGGTGGTCGACGGCAAAGTGCACCGCGCACAAAGTCCCGTTACAACGGCTTCCACTCGTCATTCGGTCGGTAGCTCTGCAGTCACGAGACCACAGTGTTACGATTCGTGTTCCACAACGCCTTTCACACAAAACCCATGACACGACCATCATAGAGAACATTTCTCGCGAAAAAATGCCCCGAAAAATAAGCAATAGGACGAGCCTTTGTCCAAAAATGCGCATACACGTACAAGCGGTGAAGCGATTATTGTCCACACCTCAGTCCATTCGACCTCGGTAAGTCGGCAGCCATTCAAACACCCCCACGCTATGATGGTGTCGTGTCGATTGACGGTGAAACGCCTGCATAAAATCCCAAGCGTAAAAAATCGTCCAGCTGTAGCAACCTTTCGGTGCGTAGCTGCCAAAGGAAGTACGAGGGCTGGGATACTACCAGGTGACCCAAGCCTAGACAGGGGAAGTCGAGATGCAGAGGTCGAGTTCGAACCACGGACCTTCCGGTCAGCAAATCCGCTCTCTAACCACTTGGTCCGTCTCGCCCTCCCCCCGAACATGAAGAACTAGCCACATGACCTCAGCGATTATCCGTTGTCAGGATGAAGGGAATTTGATAGCTATTAGAGTAGAGCAGAGTGACCCATTCGAATCCCCGACTCCCCACTTACCGGGCAGGTGTTATACCGACCGAGCTATTGATAACACGCGCACTTCATCAATACTCGCTAGATCCCTTCTTTTTTCAACTCATGGCGATATCCTCTGACTGTCTGGACAACACAAACGTCTGGAGGTTAGACAATGGCATTGTCAACTGTCAACCAGCCAGGCAAAGAAGTGGCGAAACAGTGTGAAGGACTGTAAGCTGAGCATTCTGGCGAAAGATCGGTGACTCGTGTCGATGAGCGTAATCATCATCATCATCATCAACGACAGCATGATATCAGTGCTCAACACCAATGCTTCACTGCCGTACAGCCATGACTTATTTGAAAGCCTTATTGTAAAGAAAAGAATAAAGGTGGATGGGGGAAGGACTTAGTGCTAGCTTAACACAATCATTCCGAGGTGCACACACCTCCAGATATTCACTCAGGCAATCTGGACAGAAACTGACAACAAGAACGCCACTGACATCGGTTGGCAGCCATATCTTGTAGTGT